AGACGTCCGACACACATTGAATGCATCATTACAGTAAATGACACGAGGGAGATGTCCGACACACATTGAACGCATCATTACAGTAAATGACATGTGGGAGACGTCTGACACACATTGAACGCATCATCATAGTAAATGACACGAGGGAGACGTCCGACACACATTGAATGCATCACTCTGCTTTCTGCAGAGTTCTGATCCACCTTTTTGGTTCTGGTGGACCAGATTAATTTCTGAAAGCTCACCTCTGAACAGGACATGGACGCTTTACCTGGGATTTATGAATTGTTTTGAGTTGTGTTCACTTTCAACGTTGTCACATTACAGACAGTCTTAGAGTGTCAGCGACAGCAGTGGGTGATAAAAGTTAGCGCTTTAGCATTAGCTTCTGATAAATATTTTAAATCTGTATAGCGGTTTAGCTGTATTTTTTTATATTGTTATGAAATTGTTTTGTATTTTTTTAAATTAATAAACTTTATACCATACCATAGCTTTATCTTGGAAATCGAAATTACCTCCTTATCGTCACCTGAAGCAGCCCGCTTGGAACCACGAACAAAGTGATCCCATAAACTGGGCTGAGTGGGTGCCAGCAGTAGGCAGGCCCTTAACTGCTTCCGTGTGTTTATCTTGTTTTGTGTTTTGATGGAGTTGTAACATGTAACCTTCACATCCTCAGGATGTGGCTCTAGTGGAGCTTGATGACTCCGACAGTCGGTCTGATGAAGATGAGGAGACATCAGACTCTGAGGAGGACAACAGAGAAATCACAGAGGAGAACCTCAAACTGCCTGGAGACAGAGGCAAGAAAAGGAAAGCCAACATCCAGGTTCTGGATCAGCAGGGGGACTAGATGAGTCAGTCAGGTGGTGTTGAAAAAACTACTCCTGCAAATTTTTAAATCTTCCTAATGGATAAAAACACATGAACAGAAGGCTTCTGTGTGACTTCTCTTCCCCAATGGAAAATCAGTAAGCTTGTTATGTAGACAAAGAGAAGGAAGAGTCCAGTCCAGACTTCTCTTTCAAAGTGAAAACTGTCTACTGGTTTTAAAAGTTTCTACACTTCCTGATAACACTTTAAATAACAATTTGCACGAGTAATAAAATAAGTTAAAAACCTGCTTTTTGTCTGTGTAATCATCTCATTAACGTCAACATTTAATCTCATTCTGTTTGTAATATCAAAACCAAAATATCTTGTTGTTACAAGATGTGAGATCTGAGGAATGATACATCATCAAGTATGTTACAGATTTATTCCTACATGTTTTCATAGAAAAGGGATGAGACTGAAATTGAGCTGAACAGCTAAACAACGTTAAAGCTCGTAATAAAAAGAGAAAAAATTCACAAATGGTATATGTATATATAGACTGCTTTATTTGTCCCTGAAGGGAAATTGGTTTGCAGCATTGTCAGCAGGCATTTACATAAATGACATACAAACATGACATTAACATCCATCATTACAGCAAAGAAGTTTGAGCTCAGTAATTCATGATTTATTGTTTAATGATTTAATCGCTTGTGGTATGAAAGAAAATTGTGTCCTGTTTCTTGAGAATAAAGGAAGGCAGTACTGTACCAAACCAACAGATGCTACAAAACGTTAAAATACCTTCAATAAAAGCAGAATAATACATTAAAAGCATTGAGTTATTCTCCCGTTTCTTTAAAAAAAATGCATCCTCTGCTGAGCCTTGGTGCTAATAAGGTCAGCCCATGAGTCCCACTTTTTTTATTTATTTTTTTTATTTGATGGCCTCCCTTCTCCCCTTACAGCCATCCTCTCCACACCATTATTATGAAATATTTATTCTAGTGATTATCTAGTGTAGGTTTTTTTTTTTTTTTTTTTTTTTTAATAGGATAGAAAGAAAGAAAAGACAAAGTAAGACTCCAAAATATACACAAAGAGAGCACACGGCAAAACACCCGGCCACTGTCTGTTCACCTGCAAAGAACATGACAAAACACAGCAACAAAATACATATGTATAAAGAACTTAAAATATTCATGGCTTTGCAGTAAGTTTCCATAAATATGTATACCCATACCTACGCCTATATACATACATACATACACATGAATATACATTCATATACATATCTATATATCTACATATAAAGCCTACATAAGCATCCCTGCATCTATTTGTGTGTGGTTGTGAGCATGCATAAGTGTATAAGGCTTCTCTAGAACATTTAATAGTAACTGTGAAGCAGCAGAGACCCGACCCCCAAGACCAGAGGCAGACGAAAAAGGGGGGACCAGAGCCCAAGACCCCAGGAGGGACCCCGACCGCGGAGCCCCCAGGGCCACCCACACAGGACGAACCACTCACTCACCCCCTAGAACGGACCACAGGGGAGAACCGGAAGATCCCCACCAGCGACCACATACAGTGACCCCCTGGGGCCAACAGCGACAAACTCATAGGCCTCCGTCGGAACCCGCCGCACCGATGTAGGTCCAGGCCTGGGCACCGAGGCCCGGGCACCGAGGACTCACACCACCCAGGCCAAGGCCTGACAGGACCAGAGGACCCGAGCCCCACCAGGCAGACACCAGGCCGAGCCGACACACGCCCAAGCGCCCAGCCCCCGACACCAAGGGCCCCAAGCGCGCCGGCAGGCAAGGGCACACCCCACCAGGGGGCCGTGCAATAGGGACGCGATGCCAAGCACCCCCAGTTGTATCAAAGAGGGGGCAGTCCGAGTCTCGGCCTAACAAATACCCATTCATACACAGACACAATCCCAACCTCATTCTCACATTCACTCACTCAAAGACATACAATAACGATACATTTCATTCTTATTCCCGATACGCACTCTATACCCCCAGGTCCAAGACATGTACCCGCCCTCTACAGGGGGCAGCCCATGCCCAAACCCAGGAGGTAAACCCATTCATTCTCGAGCGGAGAAGAGCCAATACCCCAGACCCGGCCCAGGCCATGCCCAGCCAACAGGACACCCCCCCACCATGAAGAAGACACGCCACCGACCACCCCCACACACCGCCAACAACCAAGCACGTGCCCCCAGCCAACCGCCCACCAGGCCCCGGCAGCCACCCCGGCCAGCGGGCCAACCATGGCACCCAAGAGCCAAGCTCAGGGGGTCCAAACAACCCCAGGGAGAGCACAGCGCCAGCACCGCCCACGGCAACCCCCCAGACCCCGAACCCCCACATAGTCCTGGTCAACACCCGACGGCCTGCCCTTCTCCCGGACCCCACCCCCGGAATGGCAGTCAGGGAACTGGGGGGGAGGAAAAAAATAAAATAAAAAAAATAAGACCCCGACACATACACCCCCGCCCCTAGATGTGCTGTTGATGTCTGTTGTTGTATAGTGCCATTAAAAAGGAAAGAAGAAGGAACAAAGGCTGGCATGATGCCAGTTTCCCCTCCACCCCAACTCTATCCAAACCCTAGTGTCTAAATGCAACCGTTGTAAGTGAGCACAGGCACAGGGGGTGAGAGTAAGGTCATCCCACCACCCATAGCCATGTGCCCACCTCAA